ACTGCTCCAGTGGCACAGATGACTGTTCCACAAGCTGCGCCCATGCTAACCATCCAACAAGTTCAGAATCCTCCACCTGTGGTATTTCCACAGCAGACTTGGCATGATCAGCCTGGCCAACCATGGCCGTACCACAATCCACAAGCACAACAGAATATTCCACCTGTGAACATTCTGCCAACCACACCTGTTCCAGCAAGGCCACCCATGGTCATTCCTATGGCGGTTGGGGGGCAACTTTTTCCAAGGGAGCCACTTCTTGACCAAAGAGGAAGGAACCATGGCAGGAACAACTATGCAGATGCCAACCCCTTACTTATGGCGGGCAGGGGGCATCAAGTGGCTAATCAACCTCAAGGTTGGCCAGACAACAACCCTCCACAACCTATGGCGCTTGACAGAGGCCAATTTGTATAATTCCTTCAACAGGAATTTGGCCTAACTCGAAGGGGTGGAAGGCCAACTTACAGAAAGCCCTATCCAGAGTTCATTGATGAAGTTGAATTTCCAAGGAATTTCAGAATTCCAGAGTTTGCAACGTTCAATGAAGAGGGCGAATAGTCTACCTTGGAACATATCAGTCGGTTCACTGTCCAATGTGGAGAAGCAACAGCCAATCCATGGATGAAGGTACGCTTGTTTCCAAACACACTGACTGGGTATGCTTTCAGGTGGTATTCCAACTTGCCAGCCAACTCCATTCAAAGTTGGCAGCAATTTGAGGATTTATTCCATACTCAGTTCTATAGAGCTGAGCTTGAAGTGTCCATGGCAGACCTTTCCAGACTTTATCAACTACCTGGAGAGTCTGTGATAAGCTTCCTTTCCAGATTTAGGCGGGCCAAGTTTAAATGTAATTTATCTTTGCCGCCGAAAGAATATGTGAAGATGGCTGTGAACGGCCTAGAATTTGAACTTCGCAAGAAGTTTGAAGGTATACAGTTTCATGACTTGTTCGACTTGGCTGGCAAAGTGGCTAAGTATGAAGAGCTCCTTCGTGAGGAGCAAGATAGGAAGAACTCTTCCAAGGGCACCTACTATCGTGATCCTAATTATGAGGTGTATACCACTGAAACTGAAGGGGAGTTTGAAGTCAACGTAGTCGAGCTCAATATAAAGAAGGCTTATACTTGTGAGGCCTTGACAAAATCGAAATCAGCCACGGCCAACTTACAAGCCGCCTCTGGTTCCAAGTAGAAAGGGGCAGACCTTTCCAGAATTTACTCTTTTGACATTTCTAAAGCCGAGCAAATCTTTGATTTGCTCATGGCTGATAAGCAACTGATTTTCACAACAGGCCATAAGATGTCGTCGGCTTCAAAAATGGCCGAGAAGGAGTATTGCAAGTTCCACAATTCGTGGAAGCATTCCACTAATAATTGTGTTATCTTCCATAACATTGTGCAAAAGGCAATCGAAGATGGCCGTTTGAAGTTTCCAGAAAAATCAAAAGTCATGGGTGTTAATGGAAATCCTTTCCCCAAGGTTGTTGCAACAAACGTTGCTTCCATGGTTCCGGAGCATTCCAAAAAGGAGGTGGACTTGGTAAATCCAGCAACCAGTGGAAGGTTAGAAATTCCAAAGGCGGCAACATCTATGGAGAAGACAGTAACTGAGTTGGAGACGCAACTCCGAGAGGCCCAGATTGCTTTAATCCAACAAGGTTGTTGCCCCAAGTGTAAAGTTCAGAATAAAGGTTGCCGTAAAGATTTTCCAAAAGAGAAGCAGAATGAAAAGCCCTCCAATAGTGACCAAGGTCAGAAAAGGAAAGTCCATGACCTGCTAACTTTCCAAAAGATGGAAAACACAGTTACTATAACCATTCCAGAGAAGGAAAACTGGGTTCATCCAGAAAGAAAGGCAGTTGAGAGGAAATCTGAGATACTTCCAAAGAATTTGGAAAAGAGTAGAATTTCCTATCAGCCAGGTTCTCGTCTTCCTAGCAGAAAGTTTGAAAGTAGTAGATGGCAAGATAGAGCATCTGAAGGTGACAGGCCTTCCAGGCCAAAAATGGCCTCGGAGGTATGGGTTAGAAGGGGGAGTGAGCATCTCCGACCAAGAATGGTTAGACCTCCTACCTATCAAGATGAGGGATGGAGAAGGCTTGATCATCCCAAGTTCCCTATCCATGATGATTCCTATATGACCCGCACACAAAAGCGAAGGCAGCAAAGGAAGAGGGCTGATAGAAAAAGATTATGGGAGAAAGACCATGGCTGGTCCAGCTGGCCAAAGAAGACTACTAGGCCGTCAGAATTTCCATCTAGAGGAAATGAGAAAGATCCTGATAATTTTCTAGATCTTGATTCAGAGGTTGGAAATTCCTTGACTACAGATAATCCTCCTACGAAAGATAAAACAGAATTGGAAATTCCCAACAGTTCCAGTAGCAGCAAGAAAATCTGCTTTAGGAGCCTTCTAGATGAATTTACTTGCAATATGGTAGTGGTTCTTCCTTTATTTTTTGAGCCACAACCAGATCAGCCCAATTCAATTGAAGGAGATGTAATAGATATAAGTCCACCTATGGAAAGTCTTGGGCAGTCTAACTCTGGGCCATTCATAATGGAACCAGACAAAGGTATCCATATAGAAGAGGTTTTCGAAGAAGAAGCTGAGCATCTCCAGAAATTAAAGAGGGTTGTGATTGAAAAGAGCAGCCCTACGAGGCCAAAGAAAATTATGTTGGAAAAGCCACCATATGGCATGACTCAGCAGCTCAAACCTTTGTACATCAAGGTGCTTGTGGAAGGAAGGCCTTTGGCAAGAGTCTTGGTGGACAATGGTTCGGTGTTAAATGTTGTTCCAGTCAATGTTATGCGCATGCTCAGAAAGTTTCCTGAAGATATCATTCCAACTGATGTGTCCATTAGTGGATTCACGGGAGGAATAGTGAAGACGCAAGGAATCCTACCGTTGGAGTTAACGGTGGGAGATAGAACTTCCATCACAGCCTTCTTTGTTATTGAGTCCACAGCGGCTTATAATTTGCTTTTAGGCCGCGAATGGATTCACCCAAATTTTTGCATTCCATCTTCGCTCCATCAAATGCTAATATTTTGGGATAGAGATGAGGTAAAAGTGGTGGAAGCTAATAGCCGGACATTTGTGGCAAGGGATTACCATGCAGATGTTGAGTTGTATAGTGAAGAATTCATTCCAATCAGATTTATTGGAAAGGATAGCAAGGGCCGTCCAAGGAAGGCCACCATGAGAAGGACTCTTACGGAAGAAGATGTGAGGGAGTTTTTCCAAGAAACACCAAGGCCAACAATTTTACCCAAGATCGGTGTTCAGCAATATATTTCAAACAAAAGTTTTTATGGAAGAGAAACCTAAAGAAAATAGAATACTTGGCCAGGCAGTTAACTGCTGCCTTGCGAGGTTGAAAGCATATCTAGCCGAACTACGGTTGGAAAGGGCTGCTGTTGTTGGTACTTCATTTTCAACCAATGTTTTGGAGATTATGGAAGATGCTGAAGACAAGTTGGATGTTATCCAACTGACAGACTTGAAGGCAGCACCAGTGAAGTTGGATGATCTTAAGGCCGAAGTGCAAGATCCTTTATTGGAAATCAATCTTGGAACGGAGCAAGACCCTCGGCCTACTTACATCAGTAAGCTTTTGGAACCAATCTTTAGAGATGAATTGATTTCTTTACTTGAAGAATACAAAGATTGCTATGGCATACTTACATCAGTAAGCTTTTGGAACCAATCTTTAGAGATGAATTGATTTCTTTACATGAAGAATACAAAGATTGCTAGGGCCTACTTACATCAGTAAGCTTTTGGAACCAATCTTTAGAGATGAATTGATTTCTTTACTTGAAGAATACAAAGATTGCTTTCCATGGACATATGAGAAAATGTTAGGTCTTTCCAGAGAATTGGTAGAGCATAAGTTGCCAATTAAGGAAGGTTTCAAGCCTTTCAAGCAGCCTCCAAGAAGGATGTCCCAAGAAGTTGTTCTAAAGGTCGAAGAAGTGATAGAAAGGCTACACAAGGCTGATTTTATAAGAACTGCCAGGTATGTTGACTAGATTTCCAATATAGTTCCAGTTGTTAAGAAAAATGGCAAGCTAAGGGTATGTGTGGATTTCTGAAATATCAATCTTGCAACTCCAAAAGATGAGTATCCCATGCCTGTTGCTGATTAGTTAGTAGATTCTGCTGCCGAGAATGAAATTCTTTCATTCATGGATGGACATTCCGGGTACAACTAGATTTACATTGCAGAGGAAGATATTGCCAAGACAGCCTTCAGGGGTCCAGGTTCCATTGGAACCTTTGAATGGGTTGTCATGCCATTTAGGTTGAAGAATGCCGGAGCAACATATCAAAGAGCCATGAATGTCATATTCCATGACATGATTGGCCATTTCTTGGAAGTCTACATTGATGATGTGGTCATCAAGTCCTCGACTAAAGATCAACATCTCCACAATTTGAAAATGGCTTTTGAAAGGATGAGGCAGCACAAGTTGAAGATGAATCCTTTGAAGTGTGCGTTTGGGGTTTCAGCTGGAAATTTCCTAGGTTTCCTGGTCCACCAAAGGGGTATTGAGATAGATCAAAATAAAGCAAAGGCAATTATTGAAGCAAAGCCACCGGCTACTAAGAAAGAATTGCAGCAATTCCTCGGCCAGGTTGGATATTTAAGGAGGTTCATTGCCAACCATACTAGAAAGACTCATGCTTTCTCCCCTTTGCTAAAACTAAAGGGTGCTGAGGAATTCAAATGGACAGAACAGCACCAGCAAGCCTTTGAAGGTTTGAAAAGCTACCTGGCCAACCCTCCAGTGCTGATGCCTCCAATCAAGAAGCGGCCTTTAAGATTATACTTATCGGCCGCCGACGAGTCCATTGGAACTTTATTAGCTCAGAATAATAAATAGGGGAAAGAACAAGCCATCTATTATCTAAGTAGAGTGCTCACTCCAGTGGAATGTAGGTATACTTCCATTGAAAAGTTGTGTCTTTCCTTATACTATGCGGCTATGAAGTTGAGAACCTATATGTTGCCAGTGGCCGTATATATCATTTCTCAAACTGATTTGATTAAGTATATGCTTTCAAGGCCTTTGATCACTGGACGTATTGGAAAGTGGCCATTGGCCTTAATGGAGTTTTCCTACAAGTATATTCCACAAAAGGCAGTCAAAGGAAGAGCGGTAGCAGAATTTCTAGCAGATCATCCATCTACTAAGATAGATTCAGAAATATGTGATGAGGTGGATAATCTCTACCTTGACTATACACCTTGGACTCTCATGTTTGATGGATCAAGCACTCATGATGGAGGTGGAGCTGGAATAGTCATCATTTCTCCTAAAGGAAGGAAAACCAAATTTTCTTTCTTCTTGGATTTCAAGTGTACAAACAACCAAGCTGAGTACGAGGCACTAATTATTGGGCTGGAGATTCTGCTAGAGCTAAAGGTGGAGAAGGTCCAAATTATTGGAGATTCCAACTTGATACTTAGCCAACTATCTGAAGAATATAGATGTCTTAATTGGCGTCCGAGGCCTTTCCACTCTTTGGCCTTAGAGTTACTTTGCCAGTTTGATGATTTTCAACTCAAATATTGGCCTAGACATTTAAATACGGAGGCTGATGATCTAGTACAATTAGCCTCTCGAGTGAAAGTCCCACTAGGTGTGGAAGAAGCTCTGATCACAGTTAAAAGAAGAACTCTTCCTTCGATAGAGTTACGGTATGAGATGGCAAGTCATTTCCAATCTAAAGAGCCAGAAAGAGTCAAACCTGCCAATAAGCCATGGGAGGTTTTCAATATTGATATAGATGGATTAGATTTGGATTATTGGAGAACACCAATTATCCAATTCTTGCAAGAGCCTAGCTCTAAGGTGGACAAGAGAATTCAGCTTTTGGCGCAACATTACATTCTGATTGATGGGGACCTCTACAAGAAAAGTAAAGAAGATGAACTTTTGTTAAGATGCCTTGGAAAAGATTAATCCATGAGGGTAATGGCGGAAACACACCTTGGAATATGCAGAGCATATCAAGCTGGAATCAAGATGAGGTGGTTCCTTAGAAGGTATGGTTATTATTGGAAAGGCATATTGAAAAATTGCATAGAGTTTGCCAAGACTTGTACTGCATGTCAAGAACATGGCCCGATCCAAAAAGTTCCAGCTATTAATATGCAGCCGATAGTAAAAATATGGCCATTTAGAGGGTGAGCTTTGGACTTTATTGGAAAGCTAAGGCCTCCATCTTCAGATGGCCATACTCACATAGTGGTGGTAACAGATTATTTCATAAAGTGGGTAGAAGCCATTCCACTAAAGACTTGTGAGCAATCAACGGTGATTGATTTTATCAAGAAACACATTATACATAGGTTTAGAATTCCAGAGACTATCACCACTGACAGAGGTCTTTCGTTTGTTTGAGGCAAGGTCTTGGATTATTGTGCTGAGTGCGGTGTACAAGTGATCAATTCCACTCCATATTTTGCCCAGGCAAATGGATAGGCAGAAGCTTCCAACAAAGTAATTCTCAACATCCTTGAAAATATGATTGAGGATCATCCAAGGGAGTGGCATCACTTGCTTTCTGAAGCTTTTTGGGCCTACAGAAATTCAAAAAGGTCAAGTACAGGCGTCACACCATATGTGCTTACATATGGACATGATGATATCCTTCCAATGGAGATGACAATCAGGTCTGCAAGGGTGGCTTTCCAAAATAGGCTAACTCCAGCAGATTACAACCATGCCATGTTAGCAGAATTAGAAGACCTTGATGAAGTTCGTCTCAATGCCCTAGATCATATTATTGCTCAAAAGAAGAAAGTCATGCAGGTATACAACAAGAAAGTCAATGCGAAGGCATTTGTAGAAGGAGACTTGGTATGGCAGGTCAAATTTCTACCTGGAGTTAAAAGTTTGGAGTATGGAAAATGGACTCCTAATTGGGAAGGTCCTTATTTGGTAGAACGAATCCTTGGAAAAGGGGCTTATAGATTAATGGATATAAATGGAGGGTCTCATAGGCATTCTATGAATGGTGTGTACTTGAAAGAGTACCACCCTTTCATCTATGAAAATTGGAAATCCACAATCATTCAACCGGCCATGTAGAATGGCTGGTATCTTCCTTTCCAAGTAAACCGGAAAGTTGGAAAGGAAGCGAAATGGCCATTCGGCCATTCCAAGAAGGAAAAGTTAAGTACTTGGAAAAGTACATTGGCTAAAGTTATGACACGGACTTAGCTGAATTTCCAAGATCAGCTGATTTCCTAAGTATGGAAGACTTCATTAAGGAACTGGCTACGCTACGTGTTCCAGGTTTTGATCATACTGGAAATTGTTCATCTTGTTTGTATATACATGCATTTCCATTATGGAAATTTCTTTTATTTCTTTGAATTTCATTTGTTATGGACAACCAATTATATGGTTATGCCTCATTGTAAATATATGTGAAGAAGTTTTCCAGTTTTAGTGACTTATAAGTTTCTTTTCCATATAAATTGTGAAAGAGGCACATGCAAAGGGTTGGGAAATAGAGCGTTATCTCATTCGATACTGGATTTCATTACAAAACTCAAAAATGGCCTCCTAAACCTAGGATTGGCCATGCAAAAGTACCCATTACTTATTTCCTATCCACAAGTTTTCCAAAAACAACCACATGATAGAACCATAAAGAGAAACACATGAGATCAGATAGAGGCAAGAACACCTCCAAGTTCATTCCAAATTTTCCTTGCTTCTTTAAGAACAGCCACTGCTCTAACCTTTGCATCCTCAAATTTAGGAAAGGCTTCAACTCATTTTTCCCATTCTTTCCTTAAAGGTTCGGACGCATTGACAAGGGCATTAGCTGTTTGGTCCAATTCAAGTTCTTCACGTTCCACTTGTTCCAATTCCCTTTGAACTTTGGCCAGTTCTTCATTCAGTTTTTCTTTCTTGATCATAAGCTTTTCAACCCGATCTTTGATTTCTGGGTAGGATTCTAAGGAATGTTGAAAATCCTCAAGAGCTTTATCTCTGAGCTTGGCTTCTTTTTCATCCTTGAAAACTATAGAAGTACTGGAGCTCACATGAGCAACAATGAATTGGAGTTGGTGTTACAGCTTGGTCAAAGAAGCCTAGATGGAATTAGGAAATTCCGGATGTTTTTTGAGGGTCATAATAGTACTGGCTAGACTTGAGTGGAAAGAGACTACATCTTCCACATCGTGGGCAAGATAAGACAACAACTTTTCTTTAGCCACCATGATAGCATCATTTGAAGGTCCTGGAAGTGTGAGGACACTTGCACTTGAAGTAGAAGTACTAGAAGATTTAGTGGCCTTGATCACTTTGTAAAGATCAGCTAAGGCTAGAAAGGCTCTCCTTTGCATCATAAAGGAGGTTGAGGTAGATAAGGAAGGAGTTGCCTGAAACGGAAACAAGTTTCTATTAGATAGAAAGAAAGAAATGAGGCGAAGTGTAAAGGAATGAAGACTTACCTCTGGGATGGAAGGAGTATGACCAGTAGAAGTTCCACCAGTTCCGGAAAGAATGGATATTCCAATAGTGGAAGTTGGAATGGGCTGACTTTTCTCATTCTTTATGGTCAAACTTTCCATAATTGAAGCTTGAAGGGCCAATCCTCTCCTTGTGCAACTTGTTGATCCAAGTGGATATTCATGAAATTGTGTCCCATAGTAGAGCCCTATTGGTTAAGTTTAAGTTACAAACATTTTAAATATAAAGTAATGAGATGGAGAAGGATAGGGATTGAGACTTACCAAAACAAGCTCTTTGGATGACTTTGGTTTCTTGTGTTTTGGGGAGTCTCCTGTTTGTTTGAACTCTTCTATTTTTTCCAGTTCAGGCATGATTTTCCTTTTAGCATTTCCAATAACTTTTCCGGAAGGGCTACGCATTTTTAGGGCTTTGCTGGAATGTTAAGTAGTGGTTCGCCCTTTGGAAATGCCAACTTCGCCATTAGAAAAATCTTCATCAGAGGAGGATAGTTGGGCCTGAAATTCTTTTTTGACAATGGCCAGTCCCTGCAAGAGGAAGTATAAGTAAGGTCCAGAATATGGAACGGTTAAGTTCGGCCACATTGAAATACCTGAGAAGTTTTTCCTTTTTCCTTTGCCTTGTATAAAGCATCCTCCTCTTCCTCTTCCACTTCTTCTTCCTCTTCTTCATCATCACTTGAGGAAAGACTTTCAATATCTACATAACCATTTTCGGCTACACCTTCAATTTTACTAGCCATTGTGGTGGTTTTCTCTCCACCTTCTCCCTCTTCACTTTCTTCAAATATTTCCTCTTCTTCATCTGAAATTAACCAAGTCTCAGCATATGGAAGGTTGATAGATTTCAAAAGGGAATGGAATTTACAGTAAATACATTAATACCTGGAGACAGAGGCTTGAAAGATGCCAGTATGGAATCACAGACAGCCTTATGATTCTTGGATCGGGTGGAGGAGATATAAGCTGACCACCATACATCGAATTCATTGGTTGATTGAGGCTTGCTAGTATGGCCTTTGAAATTAAAAGCTGCTCTTTCTGCTGTGTAGGCTTGGTCAATCGCTGCAAATTGTTCAGTATCTGTAAGACGAACACGTTGGTCAAATAATCTGTTGTAAGATTTGTAGGGTGGCAAAGGAATCATTTGGGTAAAGCCCATTTGCCTTGCTAGTTGGGCTGGGTTGTAGAACTCAACTCCACAGAAACTATTCTTCAAAGTTGATTGAGCAGTGCTGTAATGGAGGTCACGAGCAATAAGGAAGTTGGCCCAAATATTTTTCCAATCTTCAGAATGTTTCTTGGTGGATACTCCGGGAGATGGAACCAACCATGATGGCATGCGACCAATGGCAGTGAATGAATCAAAGAACTCATCGTTTCCTGTCTCACATTGATTATAGAAATATTCAAAGTTTTCAGCAAAGCTGAAAGGAGAGGGATCTGCAGTTGCCAAAGAATGGCATAGAAAGGATTTTCCAGTTGGAGTGACTAGGTGTGAAGTTCTGTTTTAGAAGTACACTTTAAGCCACATTTGGAACAACCAGAATGGGCCTTGGAACCTTGAAAACCTGGAAGTAAGGAGATCGTGAAGACCTCTGTATAAATGAGAAAGTACAAGGGGGGCTAATGCTAAGTCTCCATTTCTGGCTAGGGAAACCACCACTTGAACAAAGTCTTTTGTGACTTGGCCAGATGGAACGCATAGCAAGTGGCCAGAAAGCCAACAAATCATGAAAGCAATGTGCTCATCTTCTAGAACTGGGCCAGTTTGCTTACAGTGTTTAATAAAGGGAGATGAGAGAAGATAAACTTCTTACTTCCAGTGGTCTTGGTTGGAAAGAGGAATTGTTCAACAAAGAGAGTGGCACTTACGTCATCTCTATGAGGCTTAAGACCTGTGATGCAACAAATATCTCTCAAAGTGGGAGACATCATTCCACATTTAAAATGCATAGAATTGGTGGTTGAAGACCAAAAGAAAAGGGCTGGAAAGAGGAGGGTCGGATCAAGTGTTATGGAGGACTTACTGATTTGGATAATGTCATAGATGCCTTGTTTCTTCTACTGTGAAGAAATTTTCTCGTCCTTGGAAAGACGACTCACCCATGAAGACCAGGATGAACGATATATTAGCCAGTTTCTTATGCTGAATGAGGGTTTTATTTTTTTCCCTTTCTTTGAAATAGGAGGGAACTCTGAATCGAAAGGAAGTGGAGACTTACTAGAAGGGTAGAATTCGGCCAATTTAGAGGGGGCCACGTTGGCAAAAGCTGGACCCAATCCAACTGAGTCATCTTTGAAGTTGATCAGAGTTTCAAGATGAAGCCTAGCAGGGTTTAAAGACTTCAAGAGTACTTGAACTTGGTGACTATGGCTTCGAATTTTGGTCTTGGTTTGAATAGAAGGAGCTGGCAGGGATGAGCTAGTAGTTAGTTTGGAAGGTTTTTTGGGAGCCATGGTCTGTAATTTTTTTGTGGGTAGAGATGTTATTTAGGGTTTCAGAAGGAGGAAAGATGATCGAAGGAGAATTGGTGGCAAACGATAAGGATGGAGGGAATATATATATATAGAAACGATAAGGAAGGAAGTAAAGGCTGAGGGCATTTTCCTAGGATGGGTGGTTGGTTTTTTTTCAAAATTCAAAAGGAAATCTTAAAAGGTTTTGGAAGCTGGATGGTGTAATAAATGGATGAGTGGTTTATTGGGAGACGGAATGTGCTTGGCGGCTAGAAAGATTAACATGGTAGAATCAAGAGACCACCCGAATAACACGTGGAAGATTTTATTCGTTTACGGTGAAATCTTTCAAAGTTCAAGGACGCCTTTTCAGGAGGGGTAGTTAGAGGAGGACTTTTAAAAGGAAAAGGAAATAATGAGGATTGAGAAGATTAAAGGCTCATGCCATAAATGGTTAGGATCTCCTTGAAGATACAAAAATCAGTGATTAGAGATATTCTCAGAAAATACAAGGGGAACAGCCACGTGTTTCCTTTTTAATGATTGTCTTGAGTGTTCAAAAAAAAAAACCTAAGGGTGCTATTGGAAGGGTTTCAGTTGGATTTTTGAAATTCAAAAAAGGAAAGTAAAGAGATTTTTATGGGAAGTAGCGAATAGGTCTTTTAGGGGCACACGGCATCTAGGAGATTGGTGATTAAAGGAAATTAATATGATGGAAGCCGAGAAATTAGTTGTGGCTAGGGCTGGAAAATCAAGTGACCATGATGGTATTCTGATGGCGGAAATCAAATCCCACGCCTTATTTTTCAAGTTGTTCTACAAGGCATGGAATTTGGGGGGCATATGTTTATTCCATTATTTTACCCAATGGAAAAGAGATAAGTGGCAAGTTTTGACAAAGCTTACCATATTGATTTAATGTTACAATTGTCCAAGGAAAAGAGGGTGTGACATGGAATTGTTAATGTGGTTCCTTAAATAGAAAAAAGGTACGTGGCAAGTTCCAATGGAACTTGCCATGTTAGACTGCAATATTGATAAATATTCCACCTTGGAATATTTAAATTATGGAAATTAAAAAGACAAGTGGTGAGTCCCTTTAGGACTTACCAAATTTAGGATATAATGTCCTAAAAGGAAAAGAAAACGGCGTGGAGTTATTATCATGAGTACAATCTCATAAAAAGGCTAAAGTTAGCCAACCAATAATTTATCGACACATGGCGAGCTTTATTAAACTTGCCACGATGGATTAATTTTGTTAAAGTTGAATTTATTTGGAAGATCCTATTTTAGCAGGATACCAATTAAATAAAAGTTGACTAAGTCATGGGGACGTGAAGGCAACCTTCTCCTTATTTTTAGGAGATTTCAACAACGGTTCAGCTAAGTCAACTTCTGTTGCTAAAATTTAGCGAGACGTGGGATTTAATTTATTTCTTTATATATATATATATATATATATATATTAGGCTTAAACCCACGATGAAGGAATCACCGTAAGAAGGGAGTCCATGAAGCCATGAGGTCTAAATCCAGAGGAAGTCAAGGTTGAAGAGAAGTTGCTAAAATTAAGGAAGAGAGCAACAACCATAACCCATGATGTAAACTCGGTGACCATGACGCCATGAAAGGTTCAGCCTAAAATCAAGGAAACCGTGGTTTATGAAAGGAAAGGAAGTGGGTTGGATTCAATCCCACGATGAAACAGTCCTAAAATCTAGGAGGTCATGGCCCATGAACTCTAAACCTAGAAGGAAATTCTCAAGGTGGAAGTTGCCAAAATCATGGAAACGTGATCTACAGAAGAAAGGGAGGTAGATTGGAGAAATATAGATGTGTACATATATACTCTGGGAAACTACCCACGATAGAGGAGTTGCTAAAATTAAAGAGGTCATGGCACCATGAACTCCAAACTTCAGAAGGAAAGTCTCAAGATGGAAGTTATGCACGATGAGGAGTTTTATCAGAAGTTAGAAACCATGACGCCATGAAAGGAAGGTTCTAGCAGAAGTGAAGGATTATTATAAATCATGGGACACTTGGCTAAACAGGAATATATCGGTTGAAAGTGGTGAAAACTTATAAGGAAACTACCACTAACCAAGGGAAGTTATCTAGGGTCATGGGTGACAGGGTAGTAGTTGATGAAATCGTGTCTGAAGTTAAGGAAAGGAGTTAACGATGTGAGGATGAAGAATAAAATCATGGGACACTTGCTAAGTCACGAAGAGAACACGTGGGAATTGATTCTAAAACTACCCATGATGCAAATTCGTTGAAGACTAGAGAGGACGTGGTTGAAGTCTACAACAGAAGATGGGTAAGATGGAAGTTACAACCGTTGAGGAATCATGGGACATGTGGCAGTCCGGAACCATTCCACGTGGAAGCTGCTGAAGTTGCCACACCTAGTTAATGCATGCATGGAAAGCTTTATAAATAGAACACTTAGGCTTCACTTGCAAAACCTGTTCAAATCACACAGCAAAACAGCACTTCAATTCCTTACATTCATGTATCTTTACACTCATGTAATGCAATTTCAATATGTGTAATTCAAGTCCTGCACTTATTATTCCTACTTTCCAGCACTTTACTTTGAAGTCCTACACTTTCAATACCGCTTTCTTTTCCACTAGCCATAGTTCAGTCCGAAAGTCCTTTTTCAAGGCAAAAAGAACCCTTGAATGTGGTAATTCCAGTCCTTCATTCAATCGCCTGATTCCTGCAATTTCTTACTGGATAGTTGTTCGGATATCCACTTTGGAACGACAGTAGTTCCTAGCACGCCCGACATCCACTCCTACTTTCCACTCACCTGGAAAGCGGAACTAGCGCTTTTCCGCGAGCCGAACAAATATATATATGTATAGTGTATTCGTCAAAACAGTTAGCTGGTTTAGCTGAACCAATCTGCGATCGATGTATATAAGTCCACTGATGCAATTAAGATTCACCTGAATAACTTTAAACTTTTCAATTTAAATTAAGGCTCAATTCCTTATTCTATCAGTCTGGGACTTCAGAAAAAGATGCAATTTTAGTTCAAGTGTATCTAGAGACCAATTTAAATGGTATGAATGATATGCATTAGCTCAGAGTGACGAATTCTTAAATTTGAGCTTTCTAACCAAGTTATTCAAAAATAACTCTACATTGCGTTCCAATCTTAAATAATTTACATGCTCCCTTGAGTTAATAATTATGACTTATACAGTATATACTTACGTAGATATTGTAACATTTCCAACTATATGTTAAATCTTCCATGGCATTTGCAACAGCTTTTTTTTTAACATAAAAAACTCCTCAATGCCTACTTGGCATTTGGCATACCATCAAATATGTCATTTTGGCATATCAAAAAGTGGCATGGCAAATAAAATTTTCCCATTATTTTAGTCTATGTATCCCACAAACAATTCAAATTTGGCATATTGAGCATCTCCACCATAAACTTCAAATATTAATAAATTTGACACATCGATTGAAGTATGTCAAAATGTAAGTATGGGTTGGAGATGCTCCTAGTGTCCCACAACCAATTAGTTTGTTATCATAACAAATCTTAAGAGTTTAATGTGTAATAATCGTTGTGGGTAAGGGCAGAGCTAGAAATTTATGCTTGGGAGGCCGAATTTGTAGTATAAAAATAAATTTTAACACAATACAAATAAAATTATATTTTTACATAGACGTCTTTTATATTTAAATAAAAATAAAAATAAAAATAAAAAAAAGGTTCATTTATAAACAAGAAGTGTTCAATAACAAGCACACAAAATCTAATTACTTTGGTGCATATATAATAATAATAATAATAATAATGGACAAACAAGAATACAACACAACCGAGAATGGCCTTTTCCAAAATATATGTGCATAAACTCTTTAGAAAAGACATTCGATAAACTCAATTTTATATATTTTATATATTTTTTTAGTCAAATGCATACTCCCGCCATTGAAGGTTTCTTTGCAAATGGAGCAATCTTGCACCAAGGCTCTTCCTCTTTTTCTTTGTCTTTTTCTAAAGTAAAATAGCCTGAACCTAATATTCCATCAGTCAATAATGTTTGCTAACTTGACATCCAGTTCCAAGTAAATTGCTCTAATGCCCAAGTAAGCAAGCAATATGTGTTTTGAATAACAAACAAGTGAAGCTGTACAGGAAAGAAATCATATCACTCTTGATCTGAAAGAGACTTGCTATTCTTTTTAAGCTGGAATCAAATGACCATATAAATTTCTAATGTACAAGCCAACATTCCTTGCAATGAATTCTACATTAAGAAGATGTTTTAGAAACAACTGCTAGTTTATTTTCGATAAATTTAAAACTCAAAGCATTTTCCCACACTATGGTGTTGTCACCATTGCTCGTCTTCACGCATACGTCTTTTGGAAAATCCTTCAGAACCCCGAATGAAGATAACACTTTTATACAACATGACCCCTCTTGGCTGGGAGCTGACCCATGTCTTTGCAAGTTAGCCGAGCATTCTAGCTGTGGATATTTCCTAATGGTGTTGACAACATACAAACATCTAAAAAATGAGAATTACAAACTCCTATTTTAGTACCAGGTGTGAACCTACAGGAGCATTCAGACACGGCAACGTCAGTATGGTGTAGGGTTACTATAAGAATCAGGTATTACAGCAGTCAGCCGCGGCATATCCATGATCTGCATGCCATTGACTTCTCCCTGGATCATAAGAACAATGATCAAGAAGTTAACGTCAAAGATAAACTTTGTGCAAAATTAAAAACTAAAGTTGAAGAAATGATAAAAAAAAAATAATAATAAATGAAAGCCACGTACTAGAATGACATGGCATTTTTAAGCTACAAGAATGCAACTATAAACATGTATAATAACCATGTATTCTAAAATGACCATTGCTTGGTGCAATGCTAAAACCATTTCCAAATCAGAAAGTAATTTACTTCACGCAAATAATGCTGAAGGTTAGTTTGTACGCATGCTATCCACCCAGCAGTCCACATTAATGGAACCAACACTGCTGCTCTACATGGATGTGAATAAAACTGTGTGAGAAACTTAGTTTTTGTGCTGGCAAATATTAGTGTCAAAACATGTGAATCGAGTTGTAATTTTATGTTTATGTTGAGCTTCAATGGGTCACTTCCCGAACCTTACCCTGCTAAACATTAACAGATCAGTCCACTTGTAGACCTAGAGGTGACCATGACAACTTGTTCATCTGCATTCTATGAATACTTATTTGATGTAGTATAGCAACATTAAATTAACAACATATGCCCCATCGAAGAGATTTAACAAAAAAATAATAATAATAAAGAAGAGAAAATAGAATATCAGCATCTTAAAGGTGAAAATAAAAATTGGAAGAAGAAACGAACCATCCAAGCCAAGTCATACCTTTCATATGTTGGCAAAGACCAATAGTAACTAGCATTCTAAAGCATAGGTCGGGACCTACAATAAACAAATAAGAAGATAATATAAGTAACCAAAATTTTATCGAAATCAGAATCTGTGACTTAGTGACTTGCCCACCCTTTGACATGTAAAGCACAGGACAATCCCAGTGTTCTTAGATTCATGCACAAGCACGCCAAAGCTAGAGTTGCTACAAGAGTGGCATTTAGCACGAAACTGATAGTATCATGACAATCTTTTAGGGTTTCACATGCATGCCTCATAACCAACTAGTTAAAATAATGAGGACTCAACTCATGAAACATCTTTCTTTTCCCTTTTTGTTCAGTTTTGACAGAAGAAAACTCATAAACTGACTTGAATATTAAAGTTACACCCTCTCTAACAGCTTAAGATTTTGGAGTAGATGGTTATTAACGTGGTATCAAAGCCAAAGGTCTCGTGTTCAAACCTCACCATCACCCTGAAAATTAAAATTAAAAACATGTGTTAGACCAAAAAGAAGGCCACACGTGAGGGGCCGTGTTGAAGGATTTAAATATTAAAGTTGCATCCTCTCTAACAACTTAAGTTTTTGGAGTAGATGGTTATTAACGTGAGATCAGAGCCAAAGGTCAAACCTCACCATCACCCTGAAAATTAAAATCAAAAACATGTGTTGGACCAAAAAGAAGGCCGCACGTGAGGGGCCATGTTGAAGGATTTAATTATTGAAGTTGCACCCTCTCTAACAGCTAAAGCTTTTGGAGTAGATGGTTGTTAACAATTAGAATCACCAAGCAGGCAAGCATAATATTACTGAGTTATGGAGAGTAATTTGAATAAGTGACCTTAATTGTTTGTCTACTGAACCCCCAATCAAACTGCTTAAGGATTAGAAGTGAAAGAAATCAATTTATCTATTAAAGTGGTCAAATTGGTGTATTACCAAATAACATCCCTATTTCCACAGCTGTTAATATAGGTATTTGGAGAATAAGCTTAAACGACCAATGGTTCACGATGGCTCTGATGGGTGGTATTGCTAGAATAGGCAATAATGAAATCATGGTTTTAGTAAATGATGGGGAGAAGGTTCACACACAAAAAAATAACAAATTTGAAAGAACGGAAACTAAAGCAAGTGCAAAGCTTCCAAGCCTCCTAAATTTTTATGTCATTTTTTACCATTCCAGATTCTATAGCTAAGAAGTTGAAGAGATGGCAGTAGGATTTTCTTTGGAAGAGAAAATCATCTGGTAGATTCACAAGCTATTTGTTATCCAATCAGGAGGAAGATTGGTTGTTAGATAATTAAGAGAGTCCAACTAGGTGCCGCAAAGAAAGTGGTTGTGGAGATTTAAAGATGAGTGGACAGTATTTGGGAAAAAGTGATGGTTTCTGAACACGATAAGGCAAGGAATTAAACAACGCTGGAGGCAACTTCTTCTTATGTGGTGTGGAGGGTATTAAGATGGGTTGGGAGCAATTCTGTAAATACATCCACTTTGTGGTGGGGATTGGTAACAAAATTAACTCTTTCCAAGATAAGTGTTAAGGAGGAGATCACTAAAAGATGCGGTTCCTTAACTGTTTAGGCTGGAAGTTAATTATGATGTGTCAGTTGCAGGAAATTACATAAGAAAAGAGGACAGAGGGTTTGGGAAGGTGCAGTTTTGAAGATCGATGAAAAATTGGGAAGGTGGCTGCTTTTTTTGTGGTGGATTACTTGCAGAAGCTCCACAAAGCAGAGATGGGGAGGGGAAGGGAAGGATGAGATTTGATGGATGTGTTCATGGGAGGGACAATTGAAGTAGGAACTTTGTATAACAGGTGGTTCCTGCCTAGAAGGCTAACGAGCCTAACGTTCCTTCCAAACTGGCATCTTCTGAGCAGTCAATGGCCCACAGAAAGATTTTGATGGTCCATAACTTGCTAGCGAGAGGAAAGTTTACCTCCAATTGGTGCTGCATGTCCAAGAAAGAAGGGTCATCAGTGGATCATCTACTCACTTATTGCAAGGTGGCTACAGAGATGTGCTTCTGTGTTCTCTTAATGTAGCTTGAGATTTCATGGGTATACCCCATATGTGTCTGATTTGTTTCATAGCCTGTAGCTTGGAACACATTTTAAGGTAGGAGGCAGAAGTATGATGCAGTTTCCACTGTCTCATGTTGTGAACTGAGGGAGTGGAATTAGAGGCAATTTGACATGAATGAGTATATAGGTAAGCAAAAGAGTAGATCTTTTAGCATGTCACATAGATCAGAGGGAGGGTGAATGCTTAAAAGTTTTCAGATTTTGTAGATAACTTAAATTCATTTATGTTCTCCTAGGATTTTATGGCTGTCACTATATACGTCTGTTGTACATAAGCTGCCAAAGTGAATTTTGTAACTTAAAGAAAAGAGAGGAAACTTATACTAAAATAATTGCTATTGTTTTCCACCATCATGTCTCCTAAGACAATAAAAAGCAAACACTGTTCTTTCCTCAACTACTCAAACTTTGTACCAATTGCCCCAGCAAAGAAAGTGAGATTTGTGGCTGATCAATATGAATGGAGCCACAAGTTGATCATGAAACACATTGCCTTATGTTCTGATGTTAACTTAACAATGTCCTAAAGTTTCATAGCAAGAGTTTTTGGTTTGAGACCTATACAAGTGTGCATATCTTTCTCTATCCAGACGCATTTGTAGGGAACACAAATAGGTACCTAAATAATTTTTTCCCTGACAATCTGATAAAATGATTTAGTCAACCATATGCAGTTTTCATATTCAAAGCTTGATGATGAAAAAACACAGCCACTAGTAAGTCATAAGCTACCAAAGACACAAATAATTCAAAACAACATGGATCTGACCCATCTGCATGGATAACCCAAATTCCCACAGATGACTACAAATGATATATCTGCGTCAGGCACCTTAGACTAAAATTTGAATAGTGTTCTTCAAAAGTTTCAACCTGGCACTGGCAAAAGTCAGCATGTTTCAGGTCAAATTAATAATGTAATGTATACAAAATCATACAATATACTTGTTAATGAATTTTAGATAAGGTTATTGCAAGGGCTTTTTGTTGCTTCAGAAACCACTTAAAAGGACCTAATTACTCGACCATGGTTCGGAATCTCTGCTGACACTGAGATAAGAAGCTCAACTCATCTCTGTCCTGGCAGAGGCCAAGACTATATTTTCACCCGATAACATAAATTTAGCAAATATTAAAGAAATCATCAAAGATGGGAGATGTTAACTGCAAGACATGACAACTGACAATATTGCATGACAAACAGTGTCCACTAACCTAGACAACCACAGATAAATCGAGCCTCTTTAATGGCAATGCGCTGAAATTGCACCTTATAAATCAATATTTTGTTGCAACAAAGATTCCCATATAAAATTATGTAACAACATTTCTAGTATCTTATTATTTGACAATTCAGTCCATAAATGCTTCATTCCAAGTTCCTAGAAGAATTTTTTTTTTTATTTTTTTTTTTTGGTGAAGGTTTTCAAGGTGGGAAAGGCTGAAGAAAACAACAGATGATGATGAACAATTTGTCCACTTTAGCATGTTTTTTGTACATGCAGATGATGACGAATGATTTGTCCTCTTTAGCATGTTTTAGGTATATGTGTTGAAATTATTTAACTTGAATACTTAACTGCCAAATGAAATTCAATTCTGTATTATTACCATCATAGTATCACGTGTTAAACGCTCAACAATTACTAGTGTTTTTTTAATTATTATATGGCTCCAGAATGTTCTCTTTTTTTTCTTTTCAAAGGGGCTGGGGTGGTGATTTTTGAACCATATAAGGACAACTTATGATGACTGATATGACTCTCTTAGCACAGTTCGTATTAATATTCTTTTATAAAATCCAAATGCCATTGCAGCATTATGGTGGAGGGGGTTGTGCATCTTTTGGTAGTGTCCCTAACCATCAAAAATTCCTGAGCTTTGAAGGATTCCTCATCCTTATTATTTGTAAAATCTTCTCTAATTTTTTACCAAAGAAAAATGTCCACCACACAATTATGATTTTTTTATTTTAAAAAAAGGCGTCTGCCAAAATATATAACAAATCATAGCTTTATCCCAAAGAAAGCTCAAAAGTAAACCACAAATTTGAGGCCTTATACCTCAAGCATGTTTTCATCAAGAGAACAGGATGGTGTGTAATTAAAGCCATGAGAACTATCATATTGGAGGATCCTCAGCTTCCCTTCCTGAATTTTTTAAACCAATTAAATTAGGGAGTCCAGAAAATTAGTTACAGAAACCCAAAGTCAAATTTATAGCAAATTCAGTTGTTCACCTTGGTTCCATAGACTAGGCCATCCCCAACAGAAGGATGAAAACATGCTACATTGACCTCATCTTCTGCACTAGGAAGAACTCTCACGAGCTCCATATCAGAAACTCTGTAGACCTGAATGATAAAAGCAGACTTTGAGGACGAATTACCAATAATGTTGCAGTGATAAAATTGAAATAAACGTATAATATGGAGGAGCTGGAGACAAAAAGAAGCCCTCAGCATATCTATCTAAAATCACGAGTCATGACCTAAACACCACATAAAACTATTCACCCTTTATGCATTAGAGACCTGCCAGTGCAGCATGTATGGTGGTCAAAATTTCAGAAAGCCCATTATATAATCTCATAATCAGCTAAGGAATAAAGAACCCAAAAGAAAAAGGCTCGAAAGAAACCAACATATACAGGAACCAACATATACAGCACACTAGTGTCAATGGTGTAGGAAATTTTGAAACTAGATAGAGCCTGTTCCTCTTAAGGTGCTATTCTGTCATTTGACCACCACTTTCTACAAGATTTTACTACCAATCATCTGATATCCAGAAAGAGAGCAGTCCTTCGCGGATGTAAGAACGAAGAAGTTTTGAAAGTTGCTGCCAATTCACTTCGCACTATCCAAATTGTAAAACTTTTGTCAACTGTCTTACTACTAATTTACTTGCAATGGCTATTATTCTCAAGACTTTTCACAAGGGACCTTGCATGACATATGGAATGATAAAAATATATGTTAAAAAATCTAGGGAAAAGAAGCAATTTTTTTTTTTTGATAAGTAATGATTGTATAAAAAGTGTTCTAAAGGGGAACACATCCCTCTAAAGCTACACAAGGCCAAATAGGACCTCTAAACCCTCAACAAGTCCAATGATGAGAATCACTCATTAAACAAAAAAAATTAAAGTTAGCTAAGAACAAATGCAAAGGGAACATCACGACCCTACAAACCTAGGCAAGCGGTATCACCACCAACACGCCTCTAAAAGCTAAATTGGAAGTGCGTCAATTTAATTTACTCCTTTTGAATTGTTTATGTAGTACAATAAGAATGCACCATATTTCAAAAACAGTAAGAATGTTTGTACCTGATTCTCTTATATAGTTGTTCATAGAGATTATTTAAAGAATAGAATCAAGATCAACAAATATATAAAAACCAATACATGAAGAGTTAAGGATGCGTGAGTGGAACCATTTCCATAACCGGATTTCATTCTTGAAAAGGAAAAAGGAAGTGGACAAAAGAAAAGCAATTGACAGTGATTATTTAACTTTGTTCTTCTCGAATTTCTCTTTTGATAGACCACCCTGTGTAAACATCTATAAGTAGGTTATTGTGCATTAAACCTTTCAGCTTCAAATCATTTCTGAGAAACAACATAACAGAAAATGACACACTCAGAAATGCCAGTTTCTGAAATGACAAAAATCATGCCCCTAAGATTGCTAATATGATTGTAAACCATCCAACAAATAGTTTTGAACTGTTATTAAATGGAGCTCTACAGAGAAGGTTTAGGATGGAATGACCATATTGATAAGCCTGCACGATTTTATCAGCAAACAAGGATCAAAAATCTGTTTTCATTTCCATCACAACTGTTAAAAAAATTCTGTTTCCAAGTTAAACCCAAAGAAAAACAGGTCATTTCCCATCAAAACAAAGTTGTTTTGTCAAAAACTACAAATAAACATTCAACTCGAACCAAAATAGTCAATATTTGTTTGTATTGACATCAATCACACAAAATAAAAATAAAAACAAACAAAAAAATATATCTTTTAATCCTCAATCCTCCTCCAAATGCAGTAAAATATCTCCAAGGTTCTCTAGAAATAGCAGATAATGAAGAAAACCAGAAGAATATGGAGGAAAGCAAATTAGGGAAAAAGTTTTGTCATAATATACATTGCTAATCATTTGACCTCGCTAATTATTTTTCTTCAGTTTGTTATTTTAGCTTTTGTCAAAATGCCTATTTTGTACATTTACACAGTTCGAGCTTATAACGTCATAATTTTATATTTGATTAGAATAGCTCAAGATTACAAGAAAAGATAAACATTAGAACTTCCAAGACTATACTTTATTTTTCTGGGTTAATGGGCGTAATTGTCCTCTTGCATGGATAGACATGCAGATATTCAACAAATCAATTATTTGGCTCATCTTTCTTCAGGAATAGAATTTACTTCATGTTACCAAGTGCTTCTGATGCATTTCCAAATATATTGATATCTATTTCCAAGCCCAATAAGGGCATGTAGTTACTGCCACACATCCATCACAATATTTGCATTAATATTTTTTTTTTTGTTAGGTCAAGATTCTCATTTTTACAACAATAATTTTATGAATATTTTGTTTCTTAGTGCCCAACATTTGATCCCATAAAGTATGGTTGGTCAAACAGCTGTTTATAAAATTTACGTTCCAATTTTAGAGATATATGCAAGTCACAGAATATAATGATTATCAACATCTGACCATTTAGATAAGGGTGCTGATTATGTAGCATCCCAATCACATTCAGAACAAAATATACGAGATCAATCAAGGGCAAAGGTCTTGGATTTTGAATCATATAAGTGATACGTGCAACAAAGGAAAGAAATGAAAGCAAACTCTTCCAATCTCGAATATTATAAAAATAAATTTTTGCACGTGAAGTTCTAGAAACAAATAGGCCGTAAGTAGGAAAAAAAAAAAAAAGAGAGAGAGAGAGAGAAATAGAGAATGTAGACTTTTACCTCCAGAATGGTGTAAATGGGTATTGTTGTCTCTCCATCAATCAAAACACTCATAAGGAGTGAACTATGGCGACGGCCGTAGGCGAGTAACAAGTGCTCCGAGGTGGGAGAGAACTGCGAACACAAAAATGAATTTACAGTTCAAAAAATGTCCAATAAGATTATAAAGTTCCTTTTTTTTATATGTAGTACATATTTTGCATCTTTGCTATAGATAGACAGGTTATGATGAAGTCTCAACTACTAAAGCATTTTGACTGAAAGTTTAACTAAATCCTATCAAATCTCACAACTTGCAACCATGTCTTTTCTTTTTTGAAGATGGCCACAAGTATATTTCATTGCCAGCACTGCACATTTTTGCATACACAGCTGGAGAATTTCTCATTATTACCTGCTATATTTTCACACTATTATTTCTTATTTTTATGTACTAATATCAATCATCATTCCTTATTAAAAATAAATAAATAAATAAAAAGAGTGAAAAGAATGAAAACTTCCAACTGAGTGCCATATTCGCATGCAAATGAAATGACATGAAGTAAATGAGCTAAGCAATGCCCAGTGGAGGAAGAAAAATATTGAGATATGTAACCTTAATAACAAGTAAATATATAAAACGATAACTTTGCGTACATAGTAGATGAAGACGAAAATGATCGAAGTCCAACTCGACAAAAGCAACAACAATAATGGAATTAAAATCACAGATTAATTGAAGAGGCAACATCACTAATTTGGATTCAAGTCTCCCTAGTTGAATTATGTCCTCACCTTCTAACCTTACTAATATAACCATGAAGCCCCACTGACCAACCAAATTAAATAACAATATATGTGTGTGTGTGTGTGTGTGTGTGTGTGTGCTTTCACAACATTTTGGTGGTGTATTTCAAGCAGAAGTAAAATTATGCAAGTCTTCTCAAAGTAAGTTTAAAGCATAGTATGATGGTTTTAAGAAGAACGTGCACACAATACCAGAAGAATAGGGAAGGCCTTCACTGATTTCTTATGGATTAAAAGTGAATTTATGATCTAGGGATTCTTTTATCCCACTTAGATGTAGGAGAATCAAACTACTATCATAGTTTTGTTGGTGGCATATAGTCTCCTGCAAATAGTTGCATCAACTGCTACGTAAATAAGGTGGTGATGAAGGTGTGCAACTGTATGTACATTAGCCTTTTTCTTGATATTATATATTTTGTTTATTAATTTTGACTTTCTTTCAAACTCTATATGGAGATAAATGAAAGAAAAAAATTCAGTTTTACTCGTATCATCATTGAAACTCCAAACAACTCCATTTTCAAGCATAAGGTATTAAGAAGAAGTGATGCACATAAGTCTCCATAAAGCAACAGACCTGAATTGAAGTTAAACAATGAGCAGCTCTGACTGCCCGTGATGCAAGCACCAAACCAAATCTGGATGCACAAAAAGGACATCAGGTCACAACTAAAGGCACCTATAATGAAAGCAGGAAAATGTATGAACACATGATGCAGAGGTGTGAGTGGTTTAAGCCTTACGTCGCTTCCTCGAGGGAATATATCCGAAGTTCGTACATGACTTTGTGGGCTGAAATTGGGTGCCGTGTGGGGGATGTTGCAGCCCCTACATCATGGTGCACCTGGGTCTGTAAACCAGGATCAGCTTCTGGATGTGGCAGCACACATGCAACACAGGCTGCTAAAAATCTACCACAAGGCGAAAAATGGGCGCCCATTTCGCTGCAAACAAATTGTCACTTGTAAACAATCAAAGATATTTGGCTAGTATACTATTCAAATCATAAAAAGACAATTGCTATGTTCGGTTACATGAATTCGTGCATTGGAATTGGAATTGGATAAAATTTAGTTTAAACTTTGAACTAAGTTTTCTCCAATTCCAATTCCAAGGCACCAATTTGGGAAAAAAAATATTTCCAAGGCACCAAATCCATGCAACCAAACATAGCGAAGGAGAAATTGTACGGAGATTTAATAATGGCCGCATCATCATAATCAAACTGAGAGATTCCTCCCATAACTACATTCAGAAAAATGGACGCACAAACTGATTTTGCAAGCATGTACATTGTACAGGCTTTCAATTGTTTATAAGAACTAATTATGAGTTTCATAATAATGAAATTGAACAGTGGGAAACTGCCAATAATTTAAAACATGAAAAAGACCATACCTACAAAGTACGGCATGTGGTATAGTTAAGCGACATCTGTCTGCATCAAGAGGGTTACAAGGATCTTTAACATCATGTGACCATATTCTAAGCTTCACGGTGCAAGGTAACTCTGCGGCTGCTGCTGCAGCCAATGATGTGGCAAGCTCAGTTTGGATGCGGCTAACAAAAGGTTGGGGACGACTTTCATCACGTGCCACATTATTGAAAGCAGCATCTTCACCAGATCCAATTATGGGCATCATACGAGAGCGTGAAGAACGGTGCCGTGAACCAGATCTTGCAGTAATTGTAGATTGACCTACACTAGTAGGCATTGTTGAGGGAACCATCGGAGGGAGATTTTCTATTTCACTATATGCAGATGAATTTTCATAAGCACCACCATTAAGTGGACGCATTGTGCGTTGGCCAGCTTGGCTTTGACCAATCAGCCACCCTTGCAAAAATGGTAGTTCCCAATATGTTGGGTCACCAAATGGAAAGAACCGATTGCTTCTCTCTTCAGTCTGCACTTCAGTATCCATAGCATCAATTGCAGGTTGAGAAACAGCATTTTCCATTTCCCTCAATAAAGAATTAGTTCTTGGTTCTTCCAGTACAGGGGAGCTACTAGGTTCAACAGGAGACAACAGAAGTTCATACTGCCCCGACGGAGTTGAATATGTGAGAAGCCGCACGGAAGCAGAAGGATCCACTCTCTGAGCTGCAGTAGTTGAATCAACATCTTTATCAGTATGCTGCGAAGATAATTTCCCATCATCTCTACCAATTCAAGGCCAGATCAAGAATGGTAGAGAGATGAGAGGTAGTTAACTTGCCAAATTAAAATAATCACCAGAATGAGCATCTGCCAAATATACAGTAGGAGGAGGATAGTGCAAATAACCCGGAGAAGTTGCTAGTGTCATTGTGGAATCTGATGCCTCCAGCTCATTGACCTGCAAATCAGTACATTAATGGGATGAGGAAGATTGGAATCAAAGGAAATATGTTTATTCAATGGGTCCAAAAAAGTTACCTCAGCAGTTAGAAGAAATGGGGCACCATGCGGGTGAAAATGCACCGCTCGAAGTGAACGGCGTGTCTTCAGTACTATGGCTGGTGAAGATGTCTCCCCTCTCCTGTTGTAGTGCCATATGTATAGCTAACAAAGAATTTAAGGACATAGATATCATAAAAATTTTAAGGTAAAACACTTTATGTGATGCTCTAGTCCAGATTCCTTACCTTGTGCCCTGAAGCTACAGCCAGAAGTTCCCCTTGGGCATGGAAAGCAATAGAAGCAATAGGACGATCTGCATGGAGGAACCAAATAGATAAATCAAATCAACCACCAAAAAATAAAAAACTTGCAAAATGTTCTTTTTCGACATTTTGAAATGTTAATATAGTGATTAAAATAGTTACAGAAATCACGCGATCCTATGCACTCTGCTGTGTTCGCGTCCCATAAGCGAACTTCATGATCCAAACTTCCACTAGCAAGAATTTCAGGATATAATGGATGGAATCTAACCTGCAAAAGTTCAACCAGTATATAACATGGAAAGGGTAGCTTCACAAAAATAGCATATCCAAAATTCTGTACAATGCATAGAACGGTAAGGCTCAAATGATGTTTCTGAAGGATGAATACACAAACTCCCAACAAATAGAGATAAGAAGAATAAACTAAACTAGCAGGAGAGATTTTTTTTTTTTTTTTTAAAAAAAAGGTTGCTAAAAGGCATTGTAGTATAACATGCATATGTGAATACATATATATTAATTAAACATGCATGTGTTTGCTTTCACCAGGTTAAATATATATATATATATATATATCTAAGGGAGTGTTTGGCTATCTGGAATCAGCATCCTGACTCGGCATCTATGCATGTGTATGAGATGTTTGGGAATATTGGAGACCAAAAATTTTCATTTCGAGATTGGACATGTTCGGGGATATATAAGACATTTCACCCATTCCAATAATTCAGTCAGTCATATATAATTCTAGAGTTTAAGTTACAGAACAGCCTCGCTCTTTAGGCCAGCAACTTTTCTCAGCATCTTTTGCTGATTGTCAGCCTTTTCAGCTGACTTAAGAGGGTCCAATTCACTCAGCACATCATGTTTATTATCGGTGGCGATCACAATATGCTTCCAAGCTCAGATAACGCCAGAATATCGGTAGTCTAGCCCAGTTGCTTCTATCAGATTTTCACCGAACTTTCAAAAATAACATTAACAAAATTGTTTACTTTGGTTCTTTCCTGGCTGTTAATATTACTTGCATAATCCCAACATGAAAAACATGAATATAATATAATGTCTTAAAAAAAATTAATTTCTAAAAATGCTTACCTATTTTTATGCAATTTAAAATAAGTTCTTTGAACTAAAATGAGTCAGTCCACATGTGCTGACCTATCTAATATATAATAGACTAAGTCCAGTAGCACCTAGAATATATCAACATTCCCATTCAAGTTTGGAACATGGATATCGATCATGGCAAGTTTTTTACAGAGTAGAAAATTCTTGGGCTTTAGATATCCAAGACTCCAATTCTGCCCTTGATTCCAGTCCATCGAACTCACCCAAGAATATATTAGGATGGAGAATATAAAAAGACACGAAAAGAAAGGACAACAAAATAATCCTAAACTTTCGTATCATTAATAAATCCTAAATCTCCTGGTTCACACAAGGTTGTTAAAATCGCGATTCTGGATCTAATAGTCGTATGAGTGAGAGTCTTGAAGGATAGGAGAGTAACCCTAGGCTCTGATAGTCGGAGTATGCTAAGGTCCAAACTAGAACTAGAGGTGGGGTAAATAGGTTGAAACTAAAATAACTACTTTAACAGAGATTCAAATTTTAAACTACTTCAATTAATTGAAATTTAGATATTAGCCCATAAGAATACAAAATAGGCATACCGCAAAAAAATAAAGCACAAACACATAAAAAGATCCACGCTCAAACACACGAACACCAAATTTTACATGGAAACCCCAAAAGGATAAAAACCTCGGAACCTAGTCCAGGCAGATAAATCAACCAACAAAAGAAAGGTTTACAAAAATAGGTCTCATTCTAATTCTAGAATTATCTAGTTATCTATAATCCAGACTTATGACACACATTCTCCTCAAACTCCACTGCTGCAAGTCAACAAATCTGCTCCTCACGTGATCCGCTCTTCATTCATGCTTTGATCTCCATAAGTCATGACTAGTCCTCTCATCTTTTAATTTTTGTGGGGAATTTGTTGTGGTGTTGACGTCCTTAAAGCTCTAGGATTGGCATATTAACATTCAAAATCACTCATCATCTAAATGCAAAAATGATGGATAAAAGAAATAAAATATTTGCCTTTCAATGCTATAGTATGATCAAAGTATACTCTCTTCTTCTTCTTTTTTTCCTTTTTTTTTCTTTTTTTTTTTTTTTCCACTGAAAGCGAAGGCTCTTTTTATAGACCTTAGAGGCTGAAAGAGATTCGAGTGTAATAGAAATTTGAATCTACTTTGAAAACTGTCTTTCACAGGCATCAATTGGTCGAACCTAATCCAATAGCTTTGAGTGATCCTTCGATCCATCAAACACCCATATTCTCCCTTTATGATTTCTGGTTCAGAAATAGTTTACCGCACTTAAAAAATAATAATAATAATTAAAGATCAAAACATGCAAATTGAAAACCGAAACATATTAAATTATAAGAATGCATGCAATTTATGAAAAAAAAAAAAAATGCATGCTTATGAACACTAGTTTTTGCACAAACTTGAGAGTTTCAATTACCTTTATACCCTTGTTTGAAGTTTGATATATCCGTTATGCCCTTGGATAGAGGTAACTAACTAATTAACTATACCAAATTTTGCAAAAAAAAAAAAAAAAATTTATCATAAAATCAAAAGTACAGGTTTTAATGAAACTTGCCAACCTATATCCTGTTGACCCAACAAAGAGCATGTACAACAAGTCCTTCAAGTGCAACTTAAGGATGGGATTGTTGGCGTTAATAGTTGCATCATACATTGCCTTGATAAGTCTTTCGAGAGACAGTGTCATGTTAAACATGGGTTATTGAAACGATCCTTCCGATGTCATCCTCATTGCATGTTGTTAGCTACCATCTACTCTAGAAGCTTAAGGTGTTAGAGAGGTGCAAATTTAAAAATTCAAACCTCTAACATGCCCCTCTTGCCTTGATAAGTCTTTCGAGAGAGAGTGTCATGTTAAACATGGGTTATTCAAACGATTCCACCGAAGTCATCCTGATTGCATGTTGTTAGCTCCCATATACCCTAGAAGCTTAAGGTGTTAGAGAGTTGCAACTTTAATAATTAAATCCTCTAACATGCCCCTCACATGTGGCCTCTTTTGGATCCAACCCGTCTTTCAATTTCAATTATTAGGGAGACGGTGAGGTTTGAACGCAGGACCTTACCTGTTTTGATACAATATTAACTACCATTTACTCTAAAAACTTAAGTTAGAGAGAGTGTAACTTTAATATTTAAATCCTCTAACACATGTATTCTTCTAGTGACAGCTTCAGGTTGGATATAGATAAATCTGTGGTAGAACTAGTAAGGACCTTTCCATTGACAACTTCAGGTTAAGTCATACTGGGCTAGTATTAGCCCTTCCGGTGATAGGTTCAGGTTGGGTTTGCCAGCATGAGTGACAATTGTTGATGGAATTGTACATACACATCCTTACAGTGACAGTTTCACGTTCGATATGGTAGGTCCAATAGTAACAACACTTCCAGTGACAACTTCAAGTTAGGTCATACAGTTTGGGTCTGCACCACTCTTCAGTGATAGCTTCAAGTTGGGTTAGGTTGCAACTTGCAACCACAGGGAGCATTCAACATACGATGATATCATTTAAACATGCATTATCATGTCATCACTGGAAAGATAAACTAGTTGTGCATAAGCATACTATTCATGTTATGCTTGTCATTCAAATTAGTTTTGTGCGTCCATCTCATTTTCATTTACTCTTATGCGTATACTCACTTGTGATCAATTATTTCCTGAACTGGGGACTGACAAAATGGACAACTGCGAAGAAGGCTTTGTTCATTGAGTTTAGTTTAATGCTTTTCAGTAGTACTATAATTTCACAAGTTTTATATGAAAAATTCATTATCACAACACTTACTTGGTAAATTTGAATAATGATCAATTTATTCAACGTGTTTAATAGATTCCCATATTGAAAGTATTAATTTAATAACTTTTCCCATTTGCACTATCTTTTATAAATCCATGCGTTCCAGACAATAAGTGATCATGATTCAAAATCATTAAGTATTGTCTAATTTCCCAAAAGGTAAGGTCATTGAATAAATTTTTCAAATAATTAACCTGTAGAGTAAATTAACTAAATAGCATCCGAGTATAGATATAATTTTTTTTTTTTGATAGGTAAATAATGTATTAAAGAGCTTTCAAAAGGGGAATGCGTCCCTCAAAAGCTACACAAAGGCCAAAAAGGACCTCTAAACCCTCAAAGAACCCAAAAGATCAACAAACTTCTCTATGGTTTTACAATTTCTCCCAAGAACCCAGCAAAAAAGGGTGCTAAGGGTAGGTGTATTTATTTACTGGGTTGTATAAAATGTGCGTAATTTACAACCATTTAATTTAAAATGGTTAAATTGTGGATACTTAAGTTAATGCCTCAACTTGTGCACTTTAATGAATTTTTTCACATAGATTTTAGGGCGTAACCTATTAGAGCAAAGTTCTACCATGACTAAGGTATACATAGAAAAGAAAAGATGTAGGAGCTCACAAAGTGCACTAATTTCATATGCTCTTATTCACTTCTTGATAAATTTAAATATTTTATGTGGCTATATTTACTAAGGTTTTGGATTTAGTAAAGTAGTACCTATTGAGGCAATTTAAAAGCTAGGAAGCATGGATACGACACGGGTACAGCACGATACAGATATGGCGATACATGACAAATCTAAAAAAAGAAATAGGACATGGACACGACAAAAAAAGAAAGAAATAAAAAGATATTATTATACAAAATATAATAATAATTAACTTTTTCAATTCTCAATAATAACATATACATTCTTGATTTGGCTTACATATTGATATGAGAAGTCAAAACAAAACTTCAGGCAAAAGAACAAATAGAAGATCTAAATATGCTTATATTTTTTTTTTTTTTGGGTATGGTTTTTTAAAAAAAATATTCACAAATTGACCCTGTCGTATCCTAAAAAGAGTCCCAGTTGTGTCCTTGTGTATCTAACCGTGTCCTTGTGTGGATACTTCTAGCCATATCCTACACATGCCCAACGTGTCCATATTCAACACGTGCTCACTATGAAGCATGGGTACGGACACGAGTACAACACAATACAAACACGGCGATACGACAAATCTCAAAAAAATAGGACACATATAATAATATAATATTTTATTATATATATAGAAAAATAATCATTTTTAATCATTTCATCCACATAATCATGAATGAAAGCAC